GGGATGTCTTGTTATTTAGAGGGATGTCTTGTTATTTGAAGGGATGTCTTAATATTTAGAGAGATGTCTTGTTATTTAGAGGGATGTCTTGTTATTTAGAGGGATGTCTTGTTATTTAGAGGGATGTCTTCATATTTGGAGGGATGTCTTGTTATTTAGAGGGATGTCTTGTTATTTAGAGGGATGTCTTAATATTTGGAGGGATGTCTTGTTATTTAGAGGGATGTCTTAATATTTAGAGGGATGTCTTGTTTTTTAGTGGGATGTCTTGTTATTTAGAGGGATGTCTTGTTATTTGGAGAGATGTCTTTTTATTTAGAGGGATGTCTTGTTTTTTAGAGGGTTGTCTTGTTATTTGGAGGGATGTCTTGTTTTTTAGAGGGTTGTCTTGGTATTTAGAGGGATGTCTTGTTATTTAGAGGGATGTCTTGTTATTTAGAGGGATGTCTTCTTATTTGGAGGGAAGTCTTGTTATTTGGAGGAATGTCTTGTTATTTAGAGGGATATCTTGTTATTTGGAGGGATGTCTTGTTATTTAGAGGGATGTCTTGCTATTTAGAGGGATGTCTTTTTATTTGGAGGGATGTCTTGTTATTTAGAGGGATGTCTTGTTATTTAGAGGAATGTCTTGTTATTTAAAAGGGATGTCTTGTTATTTAGAGGGACGTCTTGTTATTTAGTGGGATGTCTTGTTATTTAGAGGGATGTCTTGTTATTTAGAGAGATGTCTTTGCGACGCTGCTTTTCTGCACTGGAAAAAAAATATTAAATATTAAAAGTGCAGTCGGTCGCAACCGTTTGCCGGGGATAGCTCAGCCTACGATGGCTGGGTAATATTCCAGGGTCTGCGACAAGGTCAGGGAAACCACTAGGCCAAAAGCCGGGTCTAACCGGTATAGGACTGGCTCATACACGGGCACTGTGAACAAGTCAAAAACAAGTCACCAAAACAAACGTGCAATAATCACTACCAGGCCTACGCCGATTCTCCACACTCCTAAGGGGTCGTTGCTGACTACGCAACTCGGGCTTCGTTCTAACTATCCAATAGTTAAGCCCAGAGTGCCTAAAACACGGTGAGTTACACGACGACTTGCCAATAAAAACCACAACGCGTGTTATCACCAGGCGGGGTCTACTAGGCCACTAAACTGCAATACACAACTCTAATGCCCAAGCTAAGAATCAAACAGTTCACTCAATAATCGTACCACATAATAATATACAAGTACACTATAGGTAGAGTGACTACACCACTAGTAGCTGGTCTCAATAAATACCAAGCCAAACAAGCAAAACTAAATGGCAATTGCACTATTAAAATATTGAGCTACTTAGTAGCAGATAAATAAATATTAAATACGTTCCAAACACTAGATAAATATATTATCTGATAGCCGGTACTCCGCTATCCAAGCTACCAAGATAACGTGTTGGACTACCAAACAAGCTGTTTAAGTTAAATTGAAATAATTAAATGATTAATCAACACCAACCCTACTGCTACTACCACTACTGCTACTATATCAACGTTATATTACTTAGCTGGGCTTCTGTTAATAGGCTAATAATATTAGCTACTAGCCTACTGGCCACGTGCTTCCAACTACGCACGCTAAATCGTGCAGCATAGGTTTGTCGGGCCTCAAGAGTTATTAGTAATATAACTAACTCTTGGTACAACGCAAAATAATAACTACTACAGTCAATAAATTATATTATTTGCGCTCTAGCACCTGCCCAGAACCGTCAGGAATATACTTTAATATTATTCCTGACTAATATAAATCCTAACTACCGTCAGGCTTTGACCAGCACGATTACAACTCTAACTCTCGCAATAAAATCAGATATTAATATATCAAACTAATAATATCAAGTCGTCCACTCACCACAAGTGGGTCACTGACTCACTACCCAACTTGACACCAACACGCCTTGAGCACCAATATCACACCGATGTCACCAAAGCACTCCTCTCTACGTACACCACTGGACGTCTCACTAGACACACGCTATCCTCACTGACCGGGATCCACGACTCGAATGTCCCTGTCCTAGACTGTCCTGAGAAACTAGGATATCCCAGGCTTATCGGCACTGATAAGCCGGGTCAAAGGGCGCTCACTAGCTTCGCCACCTCCGCTTGCTGATGCTAGCAATAGGTGCGCGGTCAAATAGCAAATATTTACCCCCCTAGGAAAAATAACTCGTTACATCCCCTACTTACATCGGGATGAAAAAAAAGAAAACGGCCAAAAGAAAAAAAAAATTTGAACTCCGGCCAAAACAAAATACTCAAGCCCCTAACCCAATGGTGAATCCTACACCACAGGTCTCAAACTCAAAATAAAGAAAAATTCTTCTACTCGCCGCTACCAGCCAACATGGTGCTGAATGATTTGGCATCAGGAACCAGACGGGGATTTCCATTGCAAGGGCCTTCGGGGTCTGCGTCACCAATTTTGACACTGTCTATGCGGCCACCTTGGCCAGAACAGTCATCACCCACGCCCATTCTTACTACCTCTGTCCCACATGTCACCAATCTGAGGTCTCGGATGACATCCATACCCAGAATCATGTCCGTGGTGAGAGTGGGGACATACAAGGCATCTCCTATCCACCGTCTTCCCGCAGCTTCTCCTGCTAGCCGAAACGAATACTCGGCCGTTGACTGTGTCCCATCTGCCATCCTTAGAGGAGCGGTAATCTTACAAGGCTCAATCCCCTGGCGTCGAAGATGTTCGGCGACTCCTCGCCCAACCAGGTTAACTACGGACCCAGTGTCCAATAACGCCTTAAAAACGCTGCCCATCAGCACAACTTCAACAAAGGGCCTTGTCTCCGAAACCAGCCGTTTCTCATCTACTCCACCAACCAGGCTGTTTAGTTTTCCGAGCCACTCGGACCACTCTTCTGAGGTCGTTCGTTTTCGGTGGCCTTGCCCAGTTGACCTCCTGATGTCTGAGCTGGCCTGCCGTTTCCCTCACGACATCCACACTGGTTCACAGTAAGACCGGGTTTTCCACACCCAAAACAGGAGACGGTCCTCAGTTTGCCACAGCCTCTGGCAAAGTGACCAATCTCCTGGCACCTAAAACAACGTACATCCTTTGCACCATCTGCAACTTCCCTAGTCATTACGGGCCTTTGTTCACGGACCCGGTTAGAGTCAAAATCTACTCGCTGTCCAATCGACTTATCCTCAAGAGATGGTCTCTGAAAATAATGTCTTTCAACCGCGGCCGTTTCATAATATTTCTCAGCCTTCTTCTTTGGAACATAGGCGGTTTCCAAAACCAGCGCTACGTTTGGTGAAGGAGGAGGTCGGAAGGCGGCCTTCTCTCGCAAATAGGCCTCATAATCTTCAGCCAACTCCACCATCTCGGCCAGGTTGCTGAAGTCACGCCGGCGTACCATCAGCTTGTACTCTGGACGCATATTATTGTAGATTAGGTCCAATCTACCATGCTCCGACAACGTACCGCTACGTCTAAGCAAGGTACTTATGGCAACAACGTAGTCCCGGAAGTGCTCGGTCTCACCCTGCGTCCATTTCCGGATCTCCTCATCCAAGTTCCTCCAATATCCTGGCGGGAAGAACTGGATTTCAAACTGATGCCGGAAAGCTTCGAATGAATACAGGAGCTCCTTACAATTCCTGTACCATAGAAGCGCTGAACCTTGCAGCAGCTCCGGTAGCGCTCTGAGCAGGTCCTCTGATGATACGGAGTAGGACACCATCAGCTCTTCTAGGCGCTCCAGGAATGACACTGGGTCTCGTCGGCCATCAAACCTCAAACCCCACTTCCGTACCGTGTTACATATCTTGGAGCAGTCCTTTGGCTCCACCCTGCTGGCCTCATTTGAGAGCATATCCGAGCCTTGAGGCAGCTCCAAGCTAGAAGGCCGGGCTGGTCTCTCAGAACTATCATTGGGCCGCTGCCATCCCTCGGGTCTACTAGGTAACCCAAAGGTAGGCATTGGAGCAGCCACAACAGGGGACGTAGGGTTGGCGGGTCTTTCGAACCCATAGCCGACCCCATTACTCGGCAAGCCCCTCGCCTGTCGCACCACCAATGCAAGTTGTTCGCGAAGAGTCCGGGTATCAGTCTCCAAAGACAACCCAAGAATCTCTTTGACCGCCTCTAACTCCCTGCTAATTCCCACTACCTCGGCTTGGTCAGATTCCGTATTACCCAGTACCTGAGGTACGGTTCTCGGGGGGTCAGGAAGCTCCACAGTTGTAGTAGCCGGCGGTACATATGTAGGTGCAGCAGCCCCAGCCGTACACAGCCTATCATCGCTATACCGACGGGCATTCCGCTGCTTCCAAAACGACGAGAATCGCTGCCGTAATTCCGCAGAAGTACCAGTGGTCACCAAACCATACTGGTCCATCGTTCTCATGAGCTCCCCCTTCGAGAGGTCATAGATCCAACCCACGCGACCGTCCCGGGGCTGCGACCCCAAGGACATAGTCGCTGGCGCGGAATAGGTCAACGAAGTTGTCACCGTCGTAGCCACTACCGAAGAAACTGTCGGCCAAACGGGCGAAGACGCCGGCCACAATGACGATGTCGTCATCACCGACAGTTCGGAGCCAACCCCAGAACTAGTCGTAGCAATAGCAGACGTAATAGGCGTACCGCCCAGCACAGACGTCGTACTCGTAGTCACAACCATATTTAAAATTCAAAACACCACGACAAATCCGCAAAAATAAGGGCGTAACCAATTAAAATATATTTAACACCGTTATAATAAATCAAACCAATTATAGGTATGAAAGTCAAACCACAAATACACAATAAGGGTTCTCACTCAAATAATATTCAATGATAAGGCTCAATTAATTAGCAAAATCAAAATTACTAACTAACATCTATGTATACAACCACTAAATAAATTAGGGTTCACAACACACCACGCTGTAACAGAAAACAGGTTAGGCCTACCCAACCGACTATAAAATCACAGCAGGTCTGCCTAAAACTCTGCCCGGATAGCTCAGTCGGTAGAGCATTAGGCTTTTAACCTAAGGGTCCAGGGTTCGAGTCCCTGTTCGCAGGCGCCATCTTGCGACGCTGCTTTTCTGCACTGGAAAAAAAATATTAAATATTAAAAGTGCAGTCGGTCGCAACCGTTTGCCGGGGATAGCTCAGCCTACGATGGCTGGGTAATATTCCAGGGTCTGCGACAAGGTCAGGGAAACCACTAGGCCAAAAGCCGGGTCTAACCGGTATAGGACTGGCTCATACACGGGCACTGTGAACAAGTCAAAAACAAGTCACCAAAACAAACGTGCAATAATCACTACCAGGCCTACGCCGATTCTCCACACTCCTAAGGGGTCGTTGCTGACTACGCAACTCGGGCTTCGTTCTAACTATCCAATAGTTAAGCCCAGAGTGCCTAAAACACGGTGAGTTACACGACGACTTGCCAATAAAAACCACAACGCGTGTTATCACCAGGCGGGGTCTACTAGGCCACTAAACTGCAATACACAACTCTAATGCCCAAGCTAAGAATCAAACAGTTCACTCAATAATCGTACCACATAATAATATACAAGTACACTATAGGTAGAGTGACTACACCACTAGTAGCTGGTCTCAATAAATACCAAGCCAAACAAGCAAAACTAAATGGCAATTGCACTATTAAAATATTGAGCTACTTAGTAGCAGATAAATAAATATTAAATACGTTCCAAACACTAGATAAATATATTATCTGATAGCCGGTACTCCGCTATCCAAGCTACCAAGATAACGTGTTGGACTACCAAACAAGCTGTTTAAGTTAAATTGAAATAATTAAATGATTAATCAACACCAACCCTACTGCTACTACCACTACTGCTACTATATCAACGTTATATTACTTAGCTGGGCTTCTGTTAATAGGCTAATAATATTAGCTACTAGCCTACTGGCCACGTGCTTCCAACTACGCACGCTAAATCGTGCAGCATAGGTTTGTCGGGCCTCAAGAGTTATTAGTAATATAACTAACTCTTGGTACAACGCAAAATAATAACTACTACAGTCAATAAATTATATTATTTGCGCTCTAGCACCTGCCCAGAACCGTCAGGAATATACTTTAATATTATTCCTGACTAATATAAATCCTAACTACCGTCAGGCTTTGACCAGCACGATTACAACTCTAACTCTCGCAATAAAATCAGATATTAATATATCAAACTAATAATATCAAGTCGTCCACTCACCACAAGTGGGTCACTGACTCACTACCCAACTTGACACCAACACGCCTTGAGCACCAATATCACACCGATGTCACCAAAGCACTCCTCTCTACGTACACCACTGGACGTCTCACTAGACACACGCTATCCTCACTGACCGGGATCCACGACTCGAATGTCCCTGTCCTAGACTGTCCTGAGAAACTAGGATATCCCAGGCTTATCGGCACTGATAAGCCGGGTCAAAGGGCGCTCACTAGCTTCGCCACCTCCGCTTGCTGATGCCAGCAATAGGTGCGCGGCCAAATAGCAAATATTTACCCCCCTAGGAAAAATAACTCGTTACATCTTGTTATTTAAAGGGATGTCTTAATATTTAGAGGGATGTTTTGTTATTTAGAGGGATGTCTTAATATTTAGAGGGATGTCTTGTTATTTGGAGGGATGTCTTAATATTTAGAGGGATGTCTTGTTATTTAGAGGGATGTCTTGTTATTTAGAGGGATGTCTTGTTTTTTAAAGGGTTGTCTTGTTATTTGGAGGGATGTCTTAATATTTAGAGGGATGTCTTGGTATTTCGAGGGATGTCTTGTTATTTAGAGGGATGTCTTAATATTTAGCGGAATGTCTAGTTTATTAGAGGGATGTCTTGTTATTTAGAGGGATGTCTTGTTATTTAGAGGGATGTCTTAATATTTGGAGGGATGTCTTGTTATTTAGAGGGATGTCTTATTTGTACAACCTTGTACAAACTTGTACACACTTGTACAAACTTGTACACACTTGTACAACCTTGTACACACTTGTACAACCTTGTACACACTTGTACAACCTTGTACACACTTGTACAACCTCGTACACACTTGTACAACCTTGTACACACTTGTACAACCTTGTACACAATTGTAAAACCTTGTACACACTTGTACAACCTTGTACATTCTTGTACATACTTGTACACCCTTGTAAACACTTGTACAAAATTGTACAAACCTGTACACCCTTGTACACACTTGTACAACCTTGTACACACTTGTACAACCTTGTACACACTTGTACAACCTCGTACACACTTGTACAACCTTGTACACACTTGTACAACCTTGTACACAATTGTAAAACCTTGTACACACTTGTACAACCTTGTACATTCTTGTACATACTTGTACACCCTTGTAAACACTTGTACAAAATTGTACACCCTTGTACACACTTGTACAACCTTGTACACACTTGTACAACCTTGTACAAACCTGTACACCCTTGTACACACTTGTACAAGCTTGTACACGATTGTACACTCTTGTACACACTTGTGCAAACTTGTACACACTTGTACAACCTTGTACACACTTGTACAACCTTGTACACACTTGTTCAAGCTTGTACACACTTGTACAACCTTGTACACACTTGTACACCCTTGTACACACTTGTACAACCTTTTACAAACTTGTACACACTTGTACAAAATTGTACATTCTTGTACATACTTGTACACCCTTGTACACACTTGTACAACCTTGTACAAACCTGTACACCCTTGTACACACTTGTACAAGCTTGTACACACTTGTACAAGCTTGTACACACTTGTACAAGCTTGTACACACTTGTATAAGCTTGTACACACATGTACAACCTTGTACAAACTTGTGCACCCTTGTACACTTTTGTACACCCTTGTACACATTTGTACAACCTTGTACAAACTTGTACACACTTGTACAAACTTGTACACACTTGTACAAACTTGTGTACACTTGTACAACCTTGTACACACTTGTACAACCTTGTACACACTTGTACAACCTTGTACACACTTGTACAACCTCGTACACACTTGTACAACCTTGTACACACTTGTACAACCTTGTACACAATTGTAAAACCTTGTACACACTTGTACAACCTTGTACACACTTGTACACCCTTGTACACACTTGTACAAAATTTTACATTCTTGTACATAATTGTACACCCTTGTACACACTTGTACAACCTTGTACAAACCTGTACACCCTTGTACACACTTGTACAAGCTTGTACACACTTGTACAAGCTTGTACACACTTGTACAAGCTTGTACACACTTGTACACCCTTGTACAAACTTGTGCACCCTTGTACACTTTTGTACACCCTTGTACACATTTGTACAACCTTGTACAAACTTGTACACACTTGTACAAACTTGTACACACTTGTACAAACTTGTGTACACTTGTACAACCTTGTACACACTTGTACAACCTTGTACACACTTGTACAACCTTGTACACACTTGTACAACCTCGTACACACTTGTACAACCTTGTACACACTTGTACAACCTTGTACACAATTGTAAAACCTTGTACACACTTGTACAACCTTGTACACACTTGTACACCCTTGTACACTTTTGTACACCCTTGTACACATTTGTACAACCTTGTACAAACTTAAACACACTTGTACAAACATGTACACACTTGAACAACCTTGTACACACTTGTACAACCTTGTACACACTTGTACAAGCTTGTACACACTTGTACAACCTTGTACACAATTGTACAACCTTGTACACACTTGTACAAGCTTGTACACACTTGTACAACCTTGTACACACTTGTACAACCTTTTACACAATTGTAAAACCTTGTACACACTTGTACATTCTTGTACAAACTTGTACTTACTTGTACAACCTTGTACAAACTTGTACACACTTGTACAAACTTTTACATCCTTGTATACATTTGTACACCCTTGTACACACTTGTACAACCTTGTACAAACCTGTACACCCTTGTACACACTTGTACAAGCTTGTACACGATTGTACACCCTTGTACACACTTGTGCACCCTTGTACACACTTGTACACCCTTGTATACATTTGTACAAACTTGTACAAACTTGTACACACTTGTACAAACTTGTACACACTTGTACAAACTTGTACACCCTTGTACACACTTGTACAACCTTGTACACACTTGTACAACCTTGTACAAACCTGTACACCCTTGTACACACTTGTACAAGCTTGTACACGATTGTACACTCTTGTACAAACTTGTGCACCCTTGTACACTTTTGTACACCCTTGTATACATTTGTACAACCTTGTACACACTTGTTCAAGCTTGTACACACTTGTACAACCTTGTACACACTTGTACACCCTTGTACACACATGTACAACCTTTTACAAACTTGTACACACTTGTACAAACTTGTACATTCTTGTACATACTTGTACACCCTTGTAAACACTTGTACAAAATTGTACAAACCTGTACACCCTTGTACACACTTGTACAAGCTTGTACACACTTGTACAAGCTTGTACACACTTGTACACCCTTGTACAAACTTGTGCACCCTTGTACAAACTTGTGCACCCTTGTACACTTTTGTACACCCTTGTATACATTTGTACAAACTTGTACAAACTTGTACACACTTGTACAAACTTGTACACACTTGTACAAACTTGTACACCCTTGTACACACTTGTACATCCTTGTACACACTTGTACAACCTTGTACAAACCTGTACACCCTTGTACACACTTGTACAAGCTTGTACACGATTGTACACTCTTGTACACACTTGTGCAAACTTGTACACACTTGTTCAACCTTGTACACACTTGTACAACCTTGTACACACTTGTTCAAGCTTGTACACACTTGTACAACCTTGTACACACTTGTACACCCTTGTACACACTTGTACAACCTTTTACAAACTTGTACACACTTGTACAAAATTGTACATTCTTGTACATACTTGTACACCCTTGTACACACTTGTACAACCTTGTACAAACCTGTACACCCTTGTACACACTTGTACAAG